CAGTGGCCTTGGGACAGAGAGACCCTGCTGGTTGTGAGCAGTAATCTCCAACAGTTCTGCACTCTTTCACTTCTTAGGCTCAAAGAAGTATCTTCCGGGGCTCATTGAAACCAAACGCTTCATCATGTGAAACAAATTTTTACAAGGCAGGTAAACTCTAAAGATACCACCTAACAAGAGAGTATCTGCTGGTAGGAATTCTTCCACTGTTCTCCCACAATGTGCTATCCGTACCCATCCCAAATCAAACCAGTCTCACACACACACACACACACACACACACAATTGTCTACCCCAATTCCAGCTGAATCGCGTTACCTGTTACTTTCACACTACTCTATGAAGAGCTGTCTTTCTTTAAGGAAACTGGTGAAATTGTAAGGCAAAGATATGGCCAGCAAACTACCTTCTCACATTCTGTATACATAGCAAGGTTATTCAGCTTGCTGGTTCTAGTTACATGTCAGCCAAGTTTGGATGACAAGCACACTTAGATTGAAGTTATATTCAAGTCAGTTAAGTTCCTGACCTATCAGAGGGATTAAGCTCACACTTTATCTGTGGCTGCAGAAAGGCTTGACCAGGCTGAATCACATGGGCCCCATGATTGTGGCAGCGGCCTTTGCAGAGAAATTCCTGGAGCATAGGGCAGCAGGCCCAAGTGAGGTACGTGGAAGATAAGGTACAGCAAGCAGGGCCTGGGCCTCACGGGTGAGCAGATCTGGCTCTTCCATGTGTTGCTGGGCCATACAGGCAAGGTACTGAACCTCTGGCCAGTCTTCTTATCTAAAATGGGGCTACTAATAGTAAGGGCGCCTGGGTGACTCAGTCAGTTAAACGTATGACTTCAGCTCAGCTCATGATCTCACGGTTTGTGGGTTTGAGCCCCGTGTTGGGCTCGGTACTGAAAGCCCAGAGCCTGGAGCCTAGTTTGAATTCTGTGTCTCTCTCTCTCTCTGCCTCTCCCTTGCTTGTGCTCTCTCACTCGATCTCAAAAGTAAATAATAGTTAAATAACATAACATAAAATAACATGGAATAACATAATATAAAATAATAAAATGGGGCTACTGATAGTACGACCAATCTCAAGCGCTGTCTTAAGGATGAAATGAACTGGAGAATGAATATGACTCAATGCAGTGCCTGGCACCCTCCAAGCACTAGCAGTGAGCCTTCTTTAGCCAACTCTTCACCACCAAGTCTCTCTGGAAGTCACTGGTGAACTCAAGAGACTAAATCCATTCCCTGGGACTCTCGAGTTCCCCAAGCCTCGGTCTCCTCATCTGTCAAGTGGGAACAACATGATAACTGTGCTAGATTTTAGAAGTGAATAGAGGTTTTTGAAAGTGCCCTGTCAGGCTTCACGGCACAGAGCACTGTTACCCTACTTCCCTAAATCCTATCATGGTCAACGACAAATGCTGGCATGAAAAAATGGGACAGAGAGTGTAACTTCTAACAACAGAAAAGAGGACTTGGAGCCAAGTATCCTGAAAGATCCAAATAATTTAACCAGAAATCAGCACACTACTGAGGACCTCACAAGTGGGCAGGCCTCATGTCCCCACATGCATCCAGTCACTTGCAGGGCTTACGTTGCCCAAAAGGCATTTGCAGATGACCCAGGACACAGCACATGCCCATGTGCATATACAGGTCCGTCCATCCCACCTTTGCATCTAGTGCCGCATGGGAGCAAGTAGAGAAGCAACGGATTCTGGAGGCAGGTTATGGGTGGCTGTATTTCATGACACCCTGTCTGTTTAGCGCAAGTTGCCTACAAGTGCCTTATGTTCACCATCGCCACGTCAGCTCCATGTGGCCACCAACACTATCCCAACATGGAGGGTTTCGGAAAATGCGGAGACCCGCCCCGGCCCTGGGAACAGCTGCCACCGCCGGAGGGGAACTCACTCACCTTCTCGTAGGGGATCTGCAGCAGCTCGAGCACCACTGCGTGCGCGCCCATGTTCCGGAGCAGGCGCTGCTGCTGCTTCTTGCTCTTCCTCACGGTGGCGCTCTCCTGCACGCAGAGTTTGCTGAGCCGAATCAGGATCTGTCAGAAAGAGAGACTCCAAGTGTGTACCCACGACCAGCATCCCAGTTCTGAGATCCAATGCACAGCGCGGCGGCAACAGTCAGCGAAGGTGCGTCGTGTGCGTAAAACCGGCTGACAGTAAATCTGAACTGTTCTCACCCACCCTCCAAAGAGCTTGCCATGTGAGGTGGTGGATGTGTTAAGTAACCTGATTGTGATCATCACTTCACAGAGTGTCTATCAAGTTATTACGTGTCACACTTCAGCAAGATGACAGTTTCTTTTGTCAATTTTATCTGCATAAAGCCTGAAAAAATTATTTCAAAAAAAATGAAAGAAATCAACTTCAGAAAACTGGGAAGCATAACTGAGAAAAGACTGTAGGCTCTGGTCATGGGCAGGGAGGCAGAAGTGATCACGACATATTAAACACAGGATGGGGCGCCTGGGTGGCTCAGTCGGTTGGACGTCCGACTTCGGCTCAGGTCATGATCTCGCGGTCCGTGAGTTCGAGCCCCGCGTCGGGCTCTGTGCTGACAGCTCAGAGCCTGGAGCCTGTTTCGGATTCTGTGTCTCCCTCTCTCTCTGACCTTCCCCCAATCATGCTCTGTCTCTCTCTGTCTCAAAAATGAATAAATGTAAAAAAAAAAATTTTTTTTTTAAACACAGGAAATTCCTCCCATATGTAGTATCCCTTAATCACATCAAACCGAATCTACACATGGTTAAAAACATGCCCTTCCAGAGTATGAAGTAGGTTATGTCTTCAACCAAAAGTGGGATAGTTTCAGAAAGATCTCCAGGGGTGCCTGGGTGGGTCAGTTGGGTAAGTGTCCAACTCTTGACTTTGGCTCAGGTCATGATCTTACGGTTTGTGAGATCAAACCCTGCATGAGGCTCCACACTGACCGTGCAGAGTCCACTTGCGATTCTCTCTCTCTCCCTCTGTCTCTGCCCCCTTCCGCTTGCATGTGTGTACACTTTCTCTCTCTAAAAATAAAGAAACTTTAAAAGGGATGAAGGGAGAAAGGGAGGAAGGGAGGAAGGGAGGAAGGGAGGAAGGGAGGAAGGAAGGAAGGAAGGAAGGAAGGAAGGAAGGAAGGAAGGAAGG